AAATAAAAGCAATATTTATTGAAAGATAACAAGACTGGATGTTTGTGATGGTGGCCTGGTATCAATTATGAATGTAAGAAGTATTCCAGTGTTGCTCTAACCAATACTGTTATCCTGTCTCCCTGTTATAGGTATATTAGTGTGCTGACATGCAATGTTTCTCATTAGACAGTTTTACACAGTCCAGCTGAATCCTGGGGTTTACAACAAAATCTGTTGTATTATAATTCAGATTTAGTTGTCATATTGATACCTTGTGAAGTTTGTAAATACTGAAATTTAGTGTGTGAACCATCAAGGAAATGGCAGGAAAAATATGAAACAATGAAAAATTACACATTATGATGGAAGATTTTATAATCTTGAGTGTAATTTCTTTTCATTCAAACTTTGTTAGAAGCCTTAGCATGGGACAGCAGTTAATGTATACACAATTTACATTTGTTTTATGTGTACAATATAGTTTAAGTTTCTTTTAACAAAATCATTTCAATGACATGTTAGAAGAATCATTGTGACTCAGGTGACCGTTAAGGCCCTTGGGCCTCTTTGTTTTTTTTAAAACTGTTTTTGCAACCCCAAAAAAAGAATATTTCTCCTTGTTGAAATATTGTTTTCCAAAATGAATAAAAGATTATGAATATCTTCCCAATTTAAAATTTTTAAGAAAACTTTATTATATGTTAGATTCCAAATTTTAAAAAACAAACAAAAGCAGCTGTAAAATTGAGGTAGAAGAAAGTGACAGATGGACAAACAACATTTCAGACAAATTTCTACATATCAAGACAACCTAGGTTGCAAAAAAATGTTTTTTTGCTTTGAATAAAAAATGCATATACTGTAGATACAAACCAATTAGTGGTAATTTATGCAGTCACAAGAAATCCAGCATGTTCTCAAACCTAATTCCCATATCTTATATACATGTGTACCTGTACTGGTTACCTGTAAATTTCTATATATTATATGTTGTGTACTGATATTCTGCTACATGGCAGTGAAGGTGAACTGTTTTATATGCAGGTACATAAGTGCTTGTATGCTTTTTTTTTGTTTAGGAAGCATGTCAATCTTCAGTTATTTCCAAATATTTCTGTTTACAATCTATAGTGATAACTGTGATGTAAGGAAACTTGAGATTTGTTTAAAGTTGTTTGTATTGAGGCTATGATGTACTTTTCAGTAATTACACACTGATCAATAAGGACTTAATAACCTGGTATTAAAACAAGTTCATTTTTTCTCTGCTTGACACTGCCATCATTCATCAATAGACATACATGTACATATTTGTAACTACATGCTTTATGGATGACTGCAGTATTCATGTAATGTATCGAAAAATCTTAAAAAAAAACAACAAAAATGTAAAACCCAACAGTTCAAAATTGAAATTTTTATCATTTTTGCTCTCCATATAATCGTCACTTTGTCCGTCTGTCCATCCGTCTATCCGTCATAATTTTGTCTGGAGTATAACACAAAAACTACAAGAGGTATCAACATAAAACTATAAATAGTTAGATCACAACAAAAAGTGTAGTGCACCACAACCATCTCTCTCTTTTGCATAATTTAGGAGTTATTGCCCTTCATTATTTTTCATACTTAAATTTTGTCCAGAGCTTTACCCTCAAACTATAAGAGGTATAAACATGAAACTTATGAGGTAGATAGATCTCAACAAGAAGGAGTGCAGTCCACAAGAATCAACTCTCTTATTGCCCTTTGTTATTTTTCCTACTTAAATTTTGTCTCCATTGGAGAGCATAACCTGTCTCTGACAGCCGTTGTTTCTTTTTTTTTTTGACAAGAGTAGGTTAATTGATGTATAATAAGATGTTTGCACAATGTTATGTTGAAAACATGATGATTTTTTCAAAGTGTTAACTGTAAAATTTCCTTGTACAATATTCCATACAAGCATACAGATGACATGCACTATCCAGCTAAGTTTGTTAAAAGCCTTCACACATGACCTTGCAGATTTCCTTATAACTTAATATCATAAGGCTGACAAGTCTGACATGCTTGACAACCAGATTCAAGCTGTCAGCTTGACATTATAAAACAGTGATAGAAACAGGAAGATAGAAATGCATGAACCCAAAAATCACATTGCCAGGATAATCTGATTTCACATTATATTTTATTTCTCAATCGGAACAAGGAAGAACTTAATGTATTATTTCCCAAAAAAACTTTTATTGAAATATTAGGTCCATACCTTTTGACATACTTGCCTTTATTAATTGAATTTCTGACAATTTCCTCATCCTTTTCTTGGTTAGCTTTCACTTTTTATATGAAAATGTCCAAGTGGAGGTTTTTTTTGTCAGAAAATGTCCCAATGTAGATTTTATTTATCTGAAAATGCTCCAGTGGACACTCTTATAATTTGAATATATTCCAGTAGAGGTTTTTTTGCGCTGAAAATGTTTAAGTGGAGTTTTAAATCTGTGTTATTTCAGTGGAGAACCAAAATATTTGGCTGGATTAATGAAGCACACTCTGTTAAAAACACATTTCAGAAATTAGATTAAAATTTTATGGTGAGGACCCTACGACCTTTAACACACTTTGTTAACACATTCTAAAGGTAATTTGTAATTGAGGGTTAATGGTTTGTGTACACACACAGCTAATTAAGGCAAATAAAAAAACGGCAGTCTCCCTGAAGCCTGAGGCTTGTGAGGCGATAGAGGATGATTTTTCTGTATTGTATCATCCTTTCTGAAAGCTTTAGACTATTTATCTGTTAATTAGCTTGCTCTCTTAGATGTATAACTTTCCCAGTCACAAAGAAAGAAGGATGATTTTGTAGTTATTATGTAATTTATGTGTACTACAACATGTTCATTGTAACAGGGACGTCACACATTTGTCATCACTATGGAAACCTCAGTGCAGTAGTGTAGGCAGGATTCACTGTTTCAGCAGGTTCAAAGCAAAATCCTAGTCAGAAACATTTTTAGTGGGATTTTGATTGTGAGAGTGCTAAAGTGGTACTGACATTCTAGAATCAAACTGGATAGCACAATGACCCTTACTAGGGACAATCATTCTAAAATGTCATCAAATTCATGGACACTGGGAAATCAAATTTCTGTATGTTTTTCCAGATTCTAAATACACCAGATATGACACACAACTGCTACCCCAATGGATATGTAGTGTAATATTTTGTCACAGGATGTCTTCTTGTTATTTACCTCATTTGTCTCCAATAATCCCTGTGGGCTGACATTTTTAATTTTGACCAAATACAATACATATAGGTGGGTTTATGAGCTAGTGTGGGGGTTATTGTTGAATAAATACAGGTTGTGATAAAGTATGCTATTTAGGTCATCTGACCCAAAGGGTCTTGATGATCTATAGTCATTTTGGTTCGGCCGTCGTCATCCACCGTGTACAATTTGCCGTGGGTAAGCTTTCAACATTTTAAACTTCTAAAGTTCCACCAGTGACATTGAGTTTGGCAGAAAAGAAATGAATCACTTGGACATGAAACTTACATTATAATACAATGAAACCCACTTAATATCATGTTCCATTTGTCAGAGAGAAATGTGATAAGCAGAATGTGACATTAACAGTTGACACATTTTTTCCGGACATTTAAACGTTAAAGTTAATTTTCTGATGTGCCAAACTGACTTGTTTTCTAACAGAAATTGTTTGGTGACAAGAGATTTGTAATTTGATATGTTTTTTTTTCTGTGAAAACATTGATTTTCCTGAAATTTTTGTTTGTTTATTCAGTGAAATATCTAAACTGCTATCATAAATTATCGTGAAAGATTGTGACATAATTCAGGTCATTCAGTTTACATGTGGTCAGATTTGTACATGACACTACCATGTCATCAGCTGATGTTTTGCTGTATGATTTATTCATCTATTACTGTAAAGACTTCATTATGGTGTATCATCACAAAGTTGATATATACACACTGTGTATCTCTGCAACTTTGATCAAATGTGTTCTGAAGATCACAACTTGAGCATTGCTGACAAAAATAGCCAACAGAGTGTGAACTTTTCACCTTTAAAATGCCACATTTCATTGGCTGTTTAATTGTTGATTGTTTTCAAAGGCCAATCAGATGTCTTGGAACACAACATAGGGAAAACCCTGTTTCAGAACATTTCTGGTCACCAGAGCATAATTTAAACAATAAATGATTTGAAGAAATATTAAAATGAAGAAATTCATATATTATGACTAATTGGTTTCCAATCTTCATTCCATCTGATATGTTTTTTACCCTGAATCAATCATCTGAGAAAGATGACTGATATCAACAAAGACATAAGTGGCCCAGTGAAGCTTTAAAGGGCAAGGGTGATCATTTTCTATGTTCATTTATGCTTAATCAAGACTTTATTTCATGAAACCTGAATTTTGGATCAGTTATGTTAGCATTTTAAGCTTTATATTGGAAATGTGTTCTCATAAATTTGCAGATTGCAATATTCCTAATGATGACATTGATATGCTGTGGTTTGGTGTCCAATGGGTCATTGTAAAAAGAAGCAAAACAAACACAATATATCATAAATTACGGTTCAGGGTTGATTATTTTCTGAAATATCTTTTGCAAAATAATCTTTTTTTGTTTTGAAATTGATTGCGGTATGTATTCTAAAAACTTATTTTCAGGAAGTTTTGCTGCATGTTGGACAGGTCGGAAAAGTTTGGTGCTGGTCTTTTCTGTGATACAATAAATTCTGCATTAGTTAATCTGACTGAGATTTCAGTTGATTGTTGTTTTTAGTTCTGCTTTTGGAAGCCATGTACAAGATTTCATCATATCTCATGGCTTAACTTGTGTCTAAATTTGAAAATGTTTTCTGATTCCTGGCCTTGGATAGAAAATGGTCTCAATTACTTTTTTCTCATATTTTTTTTCTTTCTTTTTTTAAGAATAATTTTATCTGTTTGTCTCAGTCCTGGAAAATATAATTGATATCAAACTCTTCGTGTTTTTCAGACATCTGTGACATTCCTGAAAACATCCGATTCTGCAAGAATCTCCAGGTCCTTGATATCAGCAGTAACCCATTTTCAAGGTAAGCTCAAAGCAGGGTCAAGGTCAATACTAAGCGAAGTCAAGGTCACTTGGGTATACGGTGGATTCTGCAAGAATCTCCTGGTTCTTGATATCAGCAGTAACCCATTTTGGAGGAAAGCTCAAAGCAGACATTTTTGTTATTACGAGAAGAAATTTGTTTGTGTTCAGTGACCTGTGCCAGAGGTGTACAGCATACCACACTGTGTTTAATCATGATATTGTTAGATCATCACCTGAGGCGTTCACCTGTGAAACTTGTTTGAGTTAACGGCACTTCTATACACAGGACAAAGTGAATTAATTGTAAAGAAAAGTCTGGACTTGCTTCCAAATGTTTGACAATTTATCCTGAATCACTCAATATATTTATGTATTGGAAGTTCTTTATGGAGAGAAATGTTGTTTCACGAATATTTTGTATGATTTTGAATGCTGATAGTAACCAGCTAAGTACAGGGTACCCTCTTTAATTTTAAGTACCTGTGTAATTAAGACATTAAGATTAGAATTTTGTTTCCTAGACTACCCAATGGATTTACGCAGCTTCGGAACTTGACACATTTGGGACTGAATGACGTCTTGCTAGAGCGACTTCCTCATGATTTTGGCAGGTGAGAAATCATCTTTTGATAAAATTCATGGTGTCAGGGTGATTCAATATTTTCAGGTTTTTAAAATTCATTGAGACTGGCTGAAAAAGAAGGGCTATCAGTGAGATCATTAGTGTTGGGTTTTTAAGACTTTGTTTCTACAACAAAACCTAGATATATTGCATGTATGATGTATTGATGATCAAGATGGCTGCCACTGTCAATGTCATTACTACAATGGATAGATGTGCAGGAAGGGGCCACTTCATTTTGAGCTTATGTATACAGACATGTTAAAAGTGATAATTAAAAGGACCAATCTTGATCTTTATATTTTGTGGCGGCGTATATTGTGTCCACGGCACTCTTGTTAAAACCTTGTTGGCATACTTTGTAGAGGTGTTAGTAGTATATGCCACATATTGAGCATGCTCAAGTATTTAAAGACAGCAGTCAGTGGTCTTTGTTGATTTACACAGTTGATAAAGCAGTTGTTGATATTAGTGCCAATACAACAAAAAGCAAAGAGTAAAAATCAGAAAGAACCATACAGGAACATGTGACATTTGGCTTCATGATTCATCAGTGATCTATATAGATTGTGATATTATTTATAAAAGCATATCTGGGATTTCTTGTTATTCTGCAGGTGGCAATGAGACATTATAACTCTGTCCTGAAGACAGATCTTCCTGTCCCAGGGGTTATTTAGCTTGTTATCTGTTGATTAATTAAGAAAGCACAGCTTGTACCTGAAGCTGTGAGCTATGACTTAGGGTGACTGATAATCATATCTACGCTGTCTAGTCAGATGATTGTCATAGGAACATAGCACCTACAGTGTTGTAATGATATTCCTATGACATGGATTTTAATGGTAGAATTGGTATATAATTGTCATTGGTCTGTAGCTATATGGAATATAAATCCAAATAGATAAATGCCCATATAAGACAGACATGTGTTTTCTGTAATAACACATAGAAGTTTGTACTGCTAGCACTTTTCCTTTTGAAATTGGAAAAATATAAAAGTAAATAAAAAAAATTCCCTAGCTTGGTTGACTTTCAAGACTAGGTGTTAAAGTCCTTCTCATTGACTATAACTTATCCATGTCATATGGAAAATTGCTGCCAAAATGACTGGTTTTATCCTTGTGGGGATATATTTATGTCAGATGAATCCCACGTTTATCATTGTGGGGATATATTTATGTCAGAAATCTCATGTTTAGCATTGTGGGGATAGATACAGTCCAGGGAATCCATGCTTCAACAATGGTGGGATAGATATATGCGAGAGGAATCCCAGGTTTAGCATTGTGGGGATACAGTCAGAAGATTCCCTAGTTTAGCATTGTGGGGATAGATACAGTCAGAAGATTCCCTGGTTTAGCATTGTGGGGATAGATACAGTCAGAAGATTCCCTGGTTTAGCATTGTGGGGATAGATACAGTCAGAAGATTCCCTGGTTTAGCAATGTGGGGATAGATACAGTCAGAAGATTCCCTGGTTTAGCATTGTGGGGATAGATACAGTCAGAAGATTCCCTGGTTTAGCATTGTGGGGATAGATACAGTCAGAAGATTCCCTGGTTTAGCATTGTGGGGATAGATACAGTCAGAAGATTCCCTGGTTTCTGGGGAATTCCATAGTCTGTGCTCTCCACTTGTGCTTTTTGAGAGTGGGTGTGCTGTATCTACTGCTGAAAGGATAGATACTGTTTCAACCTAATTGTTTCATTACAGTTTAACAGGACTTATCTCCCTTGAACTGAGAGACAACAACATCAAAACCCTACCACAGTCCATCTCACTTTTGTGCAAACTTGAAATCCTTGATCTCGGCAGCAATGAAATTGAAGAACTGGTGAGTAAAATCTTAAACTGAAATCATTTTGTTAGAATTGACATTACCAACATGAAGAAAATGTCCCAAAGTAAGAAATTATTGTGGTTTTAAAACTAAGTCGGAGACTAAAATTTGGTCAAAGTCAGAAACATTATTCACAGGGTCCTGACCTTAAATTGCTTTTATTATGATACAAATCAGTGATTATTCATGAACAGCACAATCATTAAACATAAGTCTGACATTTGTTTTACAGCCTGCTATCATTGGGTCCCTGTCCAGTCTACAGGAACTGTGGTTGGACTGTAATGAACTTGCAGAACTTCCACCGGTAAGACATTCATATCAATTCTAAAAGTGATCTGCATGAAATATTTCATTAATGATTTTACACAGAGGGAGTCAGTTTTAAATAAGAGGCAGAGAAAAAAAGCAGAGACTATCCTAGCACTCATCTGAAAAATACATATACAAATATATGTGTCATGCACCAACCCATATCAATCCCTCTTTAGGAGAATTACCTATAAAGTCATTGTCCTGTAAAAACCCTAACAAATGTCAAGGACTCTGATGCCACTGGTATCAATGTCAATGACTCTGATGTTACTGGTATTAATGTCAAGGACTCTGATGCCACTGGTATCAATGTCAAGGTCTCTGATGTTACTGGTATTAATGTCAAGGTCTCTGATGTCACTGGTATCAGTGTGAAGGTCTCTGATGTCACTGGTATCAATGTCAAGGTCTCTGATGTCACTGGTATCAATGTCAAGGTCTCTGATGTCACTGGTATCAATGTCAAGGTCTCTGATGTCACTGGTATCAATGTCAAGGTCTCTGATGTCACTGGTATCAATGTCAAGGTCTCTGATGTCACTGGTATCAGTGTGAAGGTCTCTGATGTCACTGGTATCAGTGTGAAGGTCTCTGATGTCACTGGTATCAGTGTGAAGGTCTCTGATGTCACTGGTATCAATGTCAAGGTCTCTGATGTCACTGGTATCAATGTCAAGGTCTCTGATGTCACTGGTATCAATGTCAAGGTCTCTGATGTCACTGGTATTAATGTCAAGGTCTCTGATGTCACTGGTATCAATGTCAAGGTCTCTGATGTCACTGGTATCAATGTCAAGGTCTCTGATGTCACTGGTATCAATGTCAAGGTCTCTGATGTCACTGGTATCAATGTCAAGGTCTCTGATGTCACTGGTATCAATGTCAAGGTCTCTGATGTCACTGGTATCAGTGTGAAGGTCTCTGATGTCACTGGTATCAGTGTGAAGGTCTCTGATGTCACTGGTATCAATGTCAAGGTCTCTGATGTCACTGGTATCAATGTCAAGGTCTCTGATGTCACTGGTATCAATGTCAAGGTCTCTTATGTCACTGGTATTAATGTCAAGGTCTCTTGATGTCACTGGTATTAATGGCAAGCTCTCTGATATCACAAGTATCAATATCAAGGACTCTGATGTCACTGGTAGTGTCTTACTGCAGCCTTATCTATACAACACAGGGTAGAGGGCATGTAGTGTCTGACTGCAGCCTTATCTATACAACACAGAGTGGAGGGTGTGTAGTGTCTGACTGCAGCCTTATCAATACAACACAGAGTAGAGGGCGCGTAGTGTCTGACTGCAGCCTTAGAGGGCGTGTAGTGTCTTACTGCAGCCTTGTCTATACAACACAGGGTAGGTGGCGCATAGCGCCTCGCTGCAGCCTTATCTATACAACACAGGGTAGAGGGCATGTAGTGTCTGACTGCAGCCTTGTCTTTACAACACAGGGTAGAGGGCATGTAGTGTCTGACTGCAGCCTTATCAATACAACACAGAGTAGAGGGCGTGTAGTGTCTTACTACAGCCTTATCAATACAACAAAGGGTAGAGGGTGCGTAGTGTCCGACTGCAGCCTTATCTATACAACACAGGGTAGAGGGCGCATAGTGTCTGACTGCAGCATTGTCTATACAACACAGGGTAGAGGACGTGTAGTGTCTTACTGCAGCCTTATCTATACAACACAGAGTAGAGGGCGTGTAGTGTCTTACTACAGCCTTATCTATACAACACAGAGTGGAGGGTGTGTAGTGTCTGACTGCAGCCTTGTCTATACAACACAGGGTAGGTGGCGCATAGTGTCTGACTGCAGCCTTGTCTATACAACACAGAGTGGAGGGTGTGTAGTGTCTGACTGCAGCCTTATCAATACAACACAGAGTAGAGGGCGCATAGTGTCTGACTGCAGCCTTATCTATACAACACAGAGTAGAGGGCGTGTAGTGTCTGACTGCAGCCTTATCTATACAACACAGGGTAGGTGGCGCATAGCGCCTCGCTGCAGCCTTATCTATACAACACAGGGTAGAGGGCGTGTAGTGTCTGACTGCAGCCTTATCTATACAACACAGGGTAGAGGATGTGTAGTGTCTGACTGCAGCCTTATCTATACAACACAGAGTGGAGGGTGTGTAGTGTCTGACTGCAGCCTTATCAATACAACACAGGGTAGAGGGCGTGTAGTGTCTGACTGCAGCCTTGTCTATACAACACAGGGTAGAGGGCGTGTAGTGTCTGACTGCAGCCTTATCTATACAACACAGGGTAGAGGACGTGTAGTATCTGACTGCAGCCTTGTCTATACAACACAGGGTAGAGGGCGTGTAGTGTCTGACTGCAGCCTTGTCTATACAACACAGGGTAGAGGGCGTGTAGTGTCTGACTGCAGCCTTATCTATACAACACAGGGTAGAGGGCGTGTAGTGTCTGACTGCAGCCTTGTCTATACAACACAGGGTAGAGGGCGTGTAGTGTCTGACTGCAGCCTTATCTATACAACACAGGGTAGAGGGCGTGTAGTGTCTGACTGCAGCCTTATCTACACAACACAGAGTAGAGGGCGTGTAGTGTCTGACTGCAGCCTTATCTATACAACACAGAGTAGAGGGCGTGTAGTGTCTGACTGCATTTAATCTATACAACACAGGGTAGGTGGCGCACAGCGCCTCACTGCAGCCTTACATACCATAATCTCTCCTACCTTAATGTAACTGAATGGAAGAGAAGTCAGGAAAATCTGGAATGTCATTATACAATAAGAGATGGAGGGAACATGCCCATTATACCATGAGGGGTGGAGGGGACATTCCCATTATTCCATGAGGGATGGAGGGGACACACCCATTATTCAATGAGGGATTGGAGGGACATGCCCATTATACAATGAGATGTGAAGGGAACACACCCATGATATCATGAGGGGTTGGGGGAACATGCCCATTATACAATGAGGAACAGAGGGAGCACACCCATTATACCATGAGGGGTGGAAGGACAGAGGGAACACCCCTATTATATCATGATAGGTGGAGGAGACATGCCCATTATTCCATGAGGGGTTGAGGGGCATGCCCATTATACCATGAGGGGTGGATGGGATACATCCATTATACAATGAGGATGGAGACATTGGTTAAGGTCAGTATAGCTCAGTTGTTAGAGAAGATATTATTACTTTTGCTTCATGGAATCATTATTTCAGTATGGTGCAATTTTACCACTTCTGTGTGATTTGTTCAATCCTCACCTCATTCCAACAACTTATTTCCAAAGACTATCTAGGAATCTTAATGTTTGTGTAGAAAGTTAGCATGAATATTACGTGTAGACCAGACTCTGACATTGATTGGAGTTCACACAGCTATGTCCTACTGTGATTTGAGATTCTGATGCCTTGTCATATTACAGAGTCAGTAATGGGAGGTCTCTTTAGAAGCTGCCTGGAGGACAGTGTGAAACATTCATCTCGTCACTGGCTCTTATGTTTATAATAGCTCACTGACTAATTGTAGTCGACAGAAAATGTATTTATCACTTTACTTGTGTTCAAAAGATTAAAGGCAATGATTAAAAACTCCACATGGTGATAAACACTGATTCCTCCTCAGGTACATTCTACCAATACAAGGAATTCAGTTGACTTTAAAGAAGATAGCTGTTCATGGCACGAGTCTGATGAAGCACTGTTTAGGAGTGAGGGTTTGCCCACCAACATCAGATACTAATAGTTACATCCTACATCCACGGTCGCTATTTGAGCTGGGCTAATAGTGACATCCTACATCAACGGTCGCTATTTGTGCTGGGCTAATAGTGACATCCTACATCCACGGTCGCTGTCTGTGCTGGGCTAATAGTTACATCCTACATCCACGGTCGCTATTTGTGCTGGGCTAATAGTGACATCCTACATCCACGGTCGCTATTTGTGCTGGGCTAATAGTGACATCCTACATCCACGGTCGCTATTTGTGCTGGGCTAATAGTTACCTCCTACATCCACGGTCACTATTTGTGCTGGGCTAATAGTGACATCCTACATCCACGGTCGCTATTTGTGCTGGGCTAATAGTGACATCCTACATCCACGGTCGCTATTTGTGCTGGGCTAATAGTTACCTCCTACATCCACGGTCACTATTTGTGCTGGGCTAATAGTGACATCCTACATCCACGGTCGCTATTTGTCCATCTGTAAATCTTGATAATGCTAGTTATTTAGATATACTCGATGGAGATTCTATATATAAAGACTCTACTACATTCTTAGTTGTGTATTTTTGATTTTGGGACTGATCAGAAAAAAAAATGACTGACAGGCAGCTGTCTTGGATTTTGTGATGTAAATATGGTTTTGTTGTTACTTTGGAAGTGCTGGGTAGGTAACCCATGGCACTTAGTTGTGCCTGCTTGATTTTGAGACTTGGCAAAAATACAAAAAAGAATGGAAAAGATCCATCTTTTGAAGAACAAATTAGACAAAACAATGGTGGACACCAAGAACACTGGTATACACTGATGATAGCAAAAGACAAATCAAAGAGTATTTTACCATCCACATGTATGATCACAAATGTTAATAAATTGATTGACAAGCACTGCAGTCTGATCAAGATCATTGGATATTGTACCTATATGTGGTCACACATGACTGACCATGAAATATTATATCTTGTATGGCCACACATGACTAACCATAAAATATTGTTTCTTGTTAGTCACACATGACGGACCATGAAATATTGTTTCTTGTAAGTCACACATGACTGACCATGAAATATTGTTTCTTGTTAGTCACACATGACGGACCATGAAATATTGGATCTTTTTAGTCACACAGGACTGACCATGAAATATTGTATCTTGTTAGTCACACATGACTGACCATGAACTATTGTATCTTGTATGGTCACATATGACTGACCATGAAATATTGTATCTTGTTAGTCACAAATGACTGACCATGAAATATTTTTTCTTGTTAGTCACA